ATAGTGACATTGGTTACAGTGTATTTAAACCAATTAAATGTATGTGTGATGATAGTACAACACATTTGAACTTTCTAAAGGTTCCTGGGATGGTCTCAGCTGGGATGTGTGAGGAGGGATGAGGATTTCTTCAGACATGGAACCATCATTTAAACTAATTGGTTTTGCCATCTGAGCATGGGAGTGACACCCATAATCCCATCACTGGGAAGGTGGAAGCAGGAAGATCATGATTGTGAAGCCAGACTGAACTACATAGAACAACCCTACCTCAAAAAAACAAAACAAAAAAGCAAGGAAACACAAAGCTGATTCTTTTATAAATTACTTTTGGTCAATCCCTTGTATTACCTGTTCTGTATAGCTATCTCTGAATGTGTCTTAGGTTGGGTTTTTAAGAAGTGGTCCAGAAAATGAGTAATCCTTTAGAATGATCTATAGGAAATACGACCATGAGAAACTGGTATGAGACAGGGAATTGGAAGTCAAGGAACTGTGCAAAGTAGTACAAAATGTAATACTCCAAGGTAGTACACAATGTAACACTTCTGGAAGTCAACAATGTAACACTCCTGGTAGTATACAATGTTACACTTTTGCTGGTCCACAATGTAATACTCCAAGGTAGTATACAATGTAACACTCCAAGTACACAATGTAACTTCCCAACTGAAGAAAGGAGTAGACTAGCAGCCAGAGGATGGAAATTCCAGTGGCTCATAGTCTGAGGCCAGTCCTAGACTAGAGAGGGGTAGGCTCTGCTGGGCAGGAGTAAAAGCGGGGTGATAGAAGAGATATCAGAGAATGTGGATGGAGACAAGCAGCAAGCTGTAAGTGGTATCTCAATTAACCCTGCATTTGGCTGCAGCAGATAGAAACCTGATGTAGTGAGTTACCCAGAGTACGTCTCCACTGCAACATCAAGTGCAGAGATTGGTTGGCTGGCAGCTTAGGCTTTGTGTAGCAGCTTCATGATGCTATCGGTGAACAGTTGTCCAGCTCTGTCCTCTCAGGATGACAAGATGACCTTTCAGCCTCCAACCTTCCAGCTTCATTCCTCCTCAGAAGAGGAAGGGAAACAGGAAGAAGGCAAACATTTCCCAGAAACCTCTAGCAGACTTCGGCTTTAGTTTGCCATAACTGATCATCACATGCTTTTCAGGTAAGGCATTCCAGGAAGATGGCACATGGCTCCCCTGAGAAAAACCACATTTTTAAAAAAGCAAAATCAATGGATAAATAGTAGTAGCTGTCCAATAGGGCATCTCTCTCTGCTTCTCCTTCCTTTCCTTTCTTCTTTTTAAAAAAGATAATAGGCCATCTTATGAGTTTCCATGGAGAAGACAGAACTGGAGCTTGGGAAGATAGGAGAGCTGGCCAATCAGAAGATGAGCGAGGACGTTTACAAGAGCCTTGAACTCTGAAGGGACCCATGTTTGGGTGAACATCTGCCCTTGCCACTTTAAAATAAAGAATATCTTCATCTTTGAGCTTCTGTTTTGTACGTGAATCTGACTGGATGGTTGTGCTGTGTGAAGCAGAACACAGTCCATGGCTTAGGCCTGTGGTACTGTGTGGGAAAAGAGAAACTTATTTTATGTTTTGTTTGAGACAGGGTTTCATGTAGCCTGGGGCTGGGCTCACTGTGTAGCTCAGGAATGACTAGATGAACTTGAATTCCTGAGCTTTCTGCCTTGATCTCCCAAATGCTGGGCCTACAAGAGTGCAATACCGAGCCTGGCTCAGTATATTGACTTATACACTTTTAGATTCAATTAATCTCCCTCTTCCTAGAAGTGCCTCTCCCCAGTAGTGGATTCCAGGGCTTTAGGAAGGAGGCAAGGGCTCTAGCATTGAACTTTTAGCTCCAGAACACCCTCTCCTTACGTTTGGAGACAGGGTCTCACTAAGTTACTTGGGCTTGGCCTTGAATTTACTCTGTATCTCAGGTCAGTCTTGAACCTTTGCCTCCCCCTCCAAGTTGCTGAAGATTGTAGGCTTGCACAATCAGATTGAGCTCCAAAGTTTATTTTTGAAAGAAATAGATTCATTTTGCATTTTATAAGGAAGTTGCCCATACAATTGCATATCTTTCAAAGTATCTTGTTGATCATTTTCGGAGTGCAGAGTAAAAGAACAAAAGCGGCGGGGGGGGGGGGGGGGGGGGGGGAGAAAATGAGAGCTAATGGAAAGATGAGTAATTCATCTGTGAAGACTGAATTACATCATGCTTAAGATTTAGTTGGGAACGTACCAGAAATACTCTCTAACATAATCAAGGTGCATGTGAATCAAGCAATATGCAATTATTGTGATGGTTAATTTTAATTGTCAGTGTGAGAAAATCTAGACTCATCTGGGAAGACAGTGTGGGTGAAGGATTGTCTCTGTTATGTTAATCGATGTGGGAAGACTCAACCATCTTTGGGTGACTCCATTCCCTAGGCAGGAGATGATGGTCATTTAAGTGTAGAGAGCAAACTGAGCATGAGCGCATTCATTCTCTCTGAGCTCTTGACTGTAGCTGTGACTAGCTGTTCTAAGTTCTTGGCTTGGCTTCCCCACAGGGATGGGCTTAACCTGGATGGAGAGCCAAATACACAGTTTCTCCCTTAGAGTTGATTCTGTGAGTGTATTTCAGATAGCAACAGAAATGAAACTAAAACATCATCTTTTCAAATCTTTGGGTTTTTTGTTTTTTGTATTTTGCTATCAACTCTGTTAAGCTTAATATGACCTCACTTCACTTTTCTTTCTTTCTTTCTTTCTTTCTTTCTTTCTTTCTTTCTTTCTTTCTTTCTTTCTTTCTTTTTTCTTTCTTCCTTCCTTCCTTCCTTCCTTTCTTTCTTTTCCAATACAGGATTTCTCTGTGTAACTTTGGAGCCTGTTCTGGATCTCACTCTGTAGACCAGGCTGACCTTGAATTCACAGAGATCCACCTGCCTCTGCCTCCCAAGTGCTAGGATTAAAGGTGTGAGCCACCACCGCCCAGCGTATGTCTTTATTATTCAATGCAATGCATCTGGTCACTCAACCAAGACTTTTGCCCTGGCCCAGGTTGGTAGTAATGACAGTGTCTTCTTCTTCTTTCTTTTTCTTCTTGTTCTTCTTATTCTTGTTCTTGTTTTTGTTCTTCTTGTTCTCATTCTCATTCTCATTCTTCTTCTTCTCCTTTTCCTTCTCCTCCTCCTCCTCCTCCTCCTCCTTCTTCATCATCCAGCAAGTGGCAGCAGCAGCAGGAACTTTTCTATGCCAGCCTCACCAAGACTCTGCCCAGGGACCAGTTTACCAGTCTGTCCCTGAAGTACATACATCTTTAGCCAATAATTGGTCGTTCTTGGCAAGTAAAAGTTTGCTAGTAAATTATTACAAAATAAAAATGTACACATTGATGTTGTGATAAAGTCTTTTGGGGAGTTATGGGGATTTTTTTTTGGAAAATTATCACATTTTGAAAGACAAATATTCACAAACTTGGAAATAGAAATCACTTTTAAAGATGGGCTTGCCTGGTGGAATAGAATGCTATTTACATGTGAAGACTCAGATGACTCAGTCATTAAAAAAGCAGGCAGTTTTAAATTCAATTTTCTTTTGCAGTTAATGACTCAGTGATAGCCGATAAATAGGAGTTTGAGTTATACACAACCTGTGGGGTCAGGTTTTTTTTTTCACAGTCTCCACAAAGCAGAGAAAATGTAAAAGGAAACATTAAAATACCATTGTACAAATTTGCATTTAAAATCAAATTTAGGCTGACATGAAACTGGTTTGTATGAAAAATCAAATCTTTGTAGAATATTCTTCTGTAATAATTATCAGCCCTGGTTTACTGATATTCATATTTCAAAATAATTTATCAGAAATTTACTCAATATTGCCACAACTCATAAAATACACTTAATGGTTGCATCAGCAGAAATCCCTTCCTCAAAGTTAAAATTATCAAAAAAATGCTTCCAATTTATATTTTCTAAGAGGAACTTGTATTACTTTTAATTATACTGATTGAAAATGAAACTGCCAAAAGAATACATTTTGATGACCTAGTATATAGCTATGTAGAAATGACAGAAAAATGTGGTGATCAGTCAAGATATCACACAAAGTATTACTTAGTATCCAAGATTATGACACTAAATGTTTTCTTTAATTTATAAGTATGGTGGTTTGAATAGGATTGGCCCCCATAGACTCATGTGTTTGAATGCTTGGCCCATGGGGAGTAGCACTATTAGGAGGTGTGGCCTTGTTGAAGTAGGTGTGGCCATGTTGGAGGAAATGTGTCACTATGGGGGCGGGCTTTGAGGTGTCATGTGTTCAAACAATGCCCAGTGTGGCACACAGTCTCCTCCTGCTGCCTGTGGATCAAGATGTAGAACTCTCAGCTCCTTTTCCAGAACTATGTCTGCCTGCATGCTGCTGTGTCCTGTTATGATGATAATGAACTAAATTTCTGAAACTATAAACCACCACCCCAATTAAATGTTTCCTTTTATAGTAGTTGCCATGGTCATGTTGTCTCTTCACAGCCATAGAACACTGACTAAGACAATGAACTATAGGTTAGTAGTCTCTCTTGTTGTGTGTCAACACAATCACTGTGAGTCCCAGTGGGAATGATCTGGAGGAAGGGTCTTTAATGAGGTAGCCAGGTTCAAATGAAACTGTGAGTGTGGGGTTCTAGTCTGGCAGGACCACCGTCCTTGTGCGAGGCAGAGGAAGACTAGAAAGTTTTCTCCCCACAAGCACTGAGGACAGCTGTCTAGGGATATGGTGAGATGAGGAATGGCATCTACAAGCTGGGAAGGAGGGCCGCAGCATGACCAACCTGGCACCATCTTGGTTGCAAATGTCTGTTTTCCAGAATGGTGAGGAAATGCAAGTCTCTTGTTTAAGCCATTCAGCTGGTTGTATTTCTTATGGCAGCCAGACCTAATCAACACATAGGTCATTTTTTACTATGTCTTTGAAACAGTTTCCTTTCTGTTCTTTTGCAGTGCTGGGCCATTGCTCTACCACCAGGCTATGTGATACCTCTGGCCCTTGTCAGATATTTTAAGGAAAAAAAAATCTTTATACTTTAGTACTTTTTTTTTTTGAGACAGGGTTTCTCTGTGTAGTTTTGGTTCCTGTCCTGGATCTTGCTCTGTAGACCAGGCTGGCTTCTCAAACTCACAGAGATCCGCCTGTCTCTGCCTCCCAAGTGCTGGGATTAAAGGCATGTGCCACCACCATCCGGTATACTTTTGTACCTTTAATAAAATTTCTTCCTTGCAAAAGATCTTTACCAATCCCACATCAGATAGAGGACTGATCTCTAAAATATATAAAGAACTCAAGAAACTAGACAGCAATATATCAAGTAATCCAATTAAAAAATGGGCTACAGAGCTAAACAGAAAATTCTCACTAAAAGAATCTCAAATGACCAAAAGACATTTAAGGAAATGTTCAACATCCTTAGCCATCAGGGAAATGCAAGTCAAAATGACTCTGAGATACCATCTTATGCTTGTCAGAATGGCTAAGATAAAAATACAGATGACAGCTTTTGTTGGAGAGAATGTGGAGAAAGGGGAACACTCCTCCACTGCTGGTGGGAATGCAATCTTTTACAGCCACTCTGGAAATCAGTATGGTGGTATCTCAGAAAATTGGGAATCCACCTGCCTCAAGATCCAGCAATACCACTCCTGGGCATATACCCAAAAGTTGCTCAACCACACCACAAGGACATTTGCTCAGCCATCTTCATAGCAGCATTATTTGTAATGGCCAGAACCTGGAAACAACCTAGATGCCCTTCAACAGAAGAATGGATAAAGAAAATGTGGTACATTTACACAATGGAGTATTATGCAGCAGTAAAAAAAAATGTCATCATGAAATTTGGCAAATGGATGGAACTAGAAAAAAATCATCCTGAGTGAGATAATCCAGACACAGAAAGACAAACATGGTATGTACTCACTCATAAGTGAATGTTAGAAGCAAAGCAAAGGATAACTGGGCTACAGTCCACAAACCCAGAGAAGCTAGGTAAAGAGGAGGACGCTAAGAAGGACACACATGGATTGCCCCAGGAAAGGGAAAGGGTTAAGATCTCCTGGGCAAACTGAGAGGGGGGAGTGGAGGGGAGGGCATGGGAGGTGGGAACATGGGGCAGAGACAGAGAGGGAGAGCAATGAAAGAGATCTATCTTAACAGAGTGTACCATTAAGGGGTTAGGGAGAAATCTGCAGCTAGGGAAAACCCCTGGAGCTCACAAGACTGTCCCCTGCTAAGACTTGTGGCAATGATGGGGAGGGAGCTTGAACTAGCCTTCCCCTGCACTCAGATTGGTGTCTACCCTAATTGTCATCATAGAACCTACATCCAGTGACTGATGGAAGCAGATGCAGAGATCCACAGCCAAGCACTTGGCCAAGATCCTGGAGTTCAGTTGAAGAGAGGGAGGAAGGATGGTAAGAGCAAGGTGGGGGGGGGGAAGGAGCGGGGGGGGGGGGGGCGGCGTGGGGAGAGAGGTGGTGGTGGTCAGGATCATGATGGGAAAAATCATCGAGATAGCTGACCCAAGTTAATGGGAGCTCATGGATTCTGGACTGACACCTGGGGAGCCTGCATGGGACTGAACTAGGCCCTGTGAATGTGGGTGAAAGTTGGCGTGGCTTGATATGTTTGTGGGTTCCCTGCCAAGGGACCAGGACTTACCCTGAGTACACAAACTGGCTTTTCAGACCTCCTTCGCTATGGTGTGATGCCTTACTCAGCCTTGATGCAGGGGGAGGGGCTAGATCTAGCCCCAACTTGGTATAACAGCCTGTATTGACTACCCACAGGAGGCCTTTCTCTCTATGAGGAGGGGTTGTGGGTGGGATAGGGGTAGGTGGGGGGAGCAGGAGAAGAAGGAGGAGGAACAGGTTGGTATGTAAAAGGAAAGAAAATATTTTTTGATAAAAATTATATTAAAAAACCATTTATTCCTTGCTTTTGAACCACCCCCCCATCCCCCCCACCCCCCACCCCCGCTTTTCACCAGGTAGGTGCTGGAAAGTACTCAATCAGTCACTTCCTGAACTGAGGTCTTTCTGTGCCTTCTCTCCATCTTCACAATGGCGTTTCTCTCAGCTTCCTCTCCCGAGATCAGCTGCTTCCATCCTGACTCTACATGACCTTTCAGGCTAAATACTCCACAGTAACCGGCTCATTAGAGCCCAAATTCTAAATGCATGGGGGGAAAAGCTCCCTGGCTTATCCTAGCCTACAGGTCTATGTATACAATGTCACAGGTCCTTCTGTTCAGGTGCGCTGGGGCCACGCTTGTAGTGGGTAGCCATTCCAGCTTTGATCTGGAAGTTCCAACCCCCATTGAGACTTCGGCAACTGTCACGCCTACAAGGCGGGGCCAAGGGAGGCGCCTGGGGACCCGAGATCTGGATCGGGGAGCGCGCACTGCTCCGCTCTGGGACCCTGGATGGTGGAGGTGGGCCAAGCAGAGCTCCAGAGAACACCGCTGGACTGCGATACACCTTCCCCAGACCCCGCGACCTACCTATCCCTTAATTTGTAAGTTACGCCATTAAATAAATCTCCTTTTAACTACGTGGAGTGGCCTTAATAATTTCACCAATACACGCTGGTCGACTTGCTGTCTTGGCCTTCATCTGTGAGGCTCAGGTGGAAGACAGCTCCAAAGGTGGTGGTACGGTCTGGGTTTATGCTTCTAGGTTGCAGTGTGGACAGAGAAGATAGACCGGCTTCCATTGCCAGCTCACCTTCTTCCTACAAGGGCGTTCAGCGTCTTCAACTACAGTTGCAATAAGAAAAGAAGAAATCAGTGGTGCATGCTGGGGATTATCTCAGGACTGTCTTAGGATTACTTGGAAATTTTAACAGAATAATGTAAATATTTACTCATTTTTAGTGAAGGGTATCTAAAGTCATTTGTGTGTATGTATCTCTCTCTCTCTCTCTCTCTCTGTGTGTGTGTGTGTGTGTGTGTGTGTTATTGGGTATTGAATTCAGGGCTCGGTACACGATTGTCATAAAAATATAGTGAGACTAACAGCCAGTGTGATGGCTCTGCCAATAAAGTGTCACACATGCCTGACTACCTAAGTTTGAGCCCTGCATCCCACACAGAGGTGGAAGGTGAGAATCAGCTCCACAGAGTTGTTCTGAGACCTCCATACGCACACCATGGTGTGCACACAACAATAATAACAAATCATAAGAGTATGGTAACTCAAGACTCTTGTCACATGTTTTCATAGGTGAATTTGGAAGTTTTCGGTCAAGATGAAAGTAAAACTTAAGAATCATTGATCACCGAAAATTGAACATTGCAGCACTTTAATGAGCTAGATGTAAATGACAGCTGCAGCCTGGACTGAAGCCATAGAACAAAGCTCCCCAGGCCGCTGAGACAGCTTCCACAAAAATCAATTCGGTGAAACTCCTCTGCTTTATTGCTGGAGAGGGACTCATGGAGTTCACACTCTTGGTTTAAATGGTGTCCAAATAAGTGTGCTGATTTGGTTTGCTAGCCTCCGGCAGATGAAAACAATGGTTTCTTAAGTAAAATGTTGAGAGTGCTTCTAAAATATGAAGAGTGATTACTGATCTCTTTCAAGGGAAAAAAAAAAAACAACAACCCACAGTTGCTTGAAAAGAGCCAATGACACGTGTTGTTTACCACTCTTGAATACTTGGGATAGCCTGAGTGAAGGGCCTGCCCCTAGCCAATCACAGTACGCACTCCCAGGGTAGAACAGTCAAAAACTTGGTGGCTACTTCAGAGAGTTATAACATGGCATAAAACAACACTATAATAATGTGAGCGGAGACTGACTGGGCTTATGCCAGAGCAATAAGCTAAAATGCCTTTAAGTGCTCCCGATGAGAAGATTAAAAGCCTGAATTAAGACAGTGGCTATAAAATTGGAGAGTGGATCTGTAAGTTTGCCTTTCTGCTTTCGTGATTAAGCACTGGGACTAAGGCAACTTAGAGAAGAAACAGCTTCTTTGGGCTTACAGTTGCAGAGGGTCAGAGTACTTGGTGGTGGGGATAGCATGGTAAAGCAGCTAGAACAGCCAGGTGCTCACATCTTGAACCCAAACTCAAAGCAGAGGTGGGAGTCCTTAAACTCTCAAACCCCGCCTCCAGTGACGTACTTCCTCCAGCAAAGCCACTTCTTCTAAATGTCCTCCAACAGTACCACATAAAGTGAGGAAGGACCCAGTGTTCAAACACACAGCCCTATGGGGGACACTCTTCCTCAAGCTAAGGCCCTGCTGAGACTTGAAAGATCAAAGAAGTGAACAGAGTTACTGCTGAGGTTGTGAGACTAGGTACAAGGGAGGAGAGGAGGCACAGCTTGAGAGTTCGGTGGGTGTGAAAGCGTTTGGGGCTCCTAACTCTCTGGAGAGCATCATTTTCATCCGGCTGACATTTGAAAGGAAGGCTTGGAAATCATCAAAAAAAGGTCAGGGGAGCACAAAATCCACTTAGTAGTGACTTTCCCTGCCAGGGAAAGAAACGTCTCATTTTAAACCGCTGGTGCACAGAGAGCATGGTAAGTTCCTTGAGGGCAGAGCACACATCGTTTATCCTACATCTCCAGTGCCCAAATATGGCAGCTACCTAGTAATAATAATGCATTCATTTGATTCCTAGAAACCAATCAAAGTCACCTTGCCCTTTTCTCAACATCTCTCAGTAACACGTAAAATAAGACAAATGCGTAGATGTCTTTTGTCCCTTAACTCACAGCCGTGTCCTCAGATTGGCTTCTAACTTGCTATGTAGCTAAGGCTAGTCTTGAACACCTCATCTTTTCTCCACGTCCTGACTCCAGTCATATACCAACACACCTGACCATAGTTATCTTTCAACTTGTTTCTTGGCAAGGAATTTAAAGGTCCTTGTTGTCCAATGGGACAAGAGCTTGTGATATCACCCATTCCATCTCTTCAGGCTCCAGCTGGTTTGTTTGTGTTGTTGGCTTTTTTTTTTTTAAGCTGCTGATGCTAATCATCTGCATGGCTCAGCAGGAGCAAGGAGCGCCAAGAGAGATCTCCCAATCTGTGAGTCTACAAGCCATTGGCACCCTGTATGCTTACATAGCCAGGCCAGGATTGCCACTCCCTCAACAGAGGAAGCTTCCCTTTTTCAAATTGTGGAGCAAATTGTGCCCTGAAGCTTTCCCTCTCCCCAGTACGTACCTAGGGGTGGGGATGGACATGGGGAGCTCATCTTTGCCTGCAAACAAATCAAGACATACTCAAAGGAAAGGATCTGAATTAGGTCAGGTTTGGACACAGAGAAAGAACAGTCTAGATGCCTTATGGAGCTTCTCGGAAAAGAATGCTTTCATGATTTTAGTTACTGGCGGCTACTGTGGCAATTACTTTAATTTTTTTTTTTCCCATTTGGATGTTTAATTTTCAAGTCTGAGAAATGGAAGCAATTTTATCCTTTATCAAATAGTTCTGAGTCATGGTTGATCTCTCTGGGAAAGAAAAAAAAAAGCAGTTTAAAATCTCAGTTGGCTGGGAAGCAGGAACACAAACAAAACAAAAATCTCACAAGGAAACAAGATCCCCAAAACCCTCCCAATCGTGTTCATTCTTGCATGAAAGATATACTCTACTATCTTAGAATCCGATCACCCAATCTGTGAGGCTGAATAGCACACTTTGCACTCCCAGATCTCTGGTTGGCAGCATCATTGTATATAAACCATTAAACTACAATGGAAACACAGCCGCGGGCTTATTAGTCTCTTGGCCAGAGGAACCATTTTTGCTTTATCTGCTTTCTTTTGAGTCTTTCGGAAACTGGAGCGACTTCCTACAAACCCGAGGTAAGCTGTTTTCTCCTTAGAGAAACTCTTGCGCGGAGTTCATTCAGGAAAATAATTAGCAGGAGAGAGGGGGGCCTCTAAGGTTGCCTGGAACAGATGCAGGAGCCAGGACACGTGAGCAGCTCTGGCTCTTACCATCCTACTTACTGTCCCCAGTGAGGGGCCATGGGGACGAGATAAGGATTTGGTCAAGATCAAAACTGACCCAGTGTGGGAAGATTAAATAGAAAGGAAAGCCTGAGGGTGGGCAACGGGTGAATGGGTGGGACAGGGAAGAGACTCTATTCCATTTCCGAACCGGGGAGGGGGGTCACAGACATTGTCATCTCCCTATTAGGAAAGGTTCCAGGACACGGCAGAGTTTTCTGAGAAGACTGTGAGATCAGATGGAGTCATTTTTGGATACAAACGCCTGTGGCTTCTTCTCCTGCGCAGTTCAAGGAAGACTTAATTGCTGTGCGCTGCCTCCCTGCACTCCTCTTCCCGCACTTCACCACCCACCTTCCCGAAGCACATCTGCAGGCTCCACAGAGACGTGGCAGGCAGCCACGATTCTGTCCCACACTCAACACCACCTCAAATGCCAGACTTGCTGGGATTCTGCACGTGAGAACAGGAGAGCAGAGGGTGCCTGAGCAGTCTGAGGAAAGTTCCTTTGACTAGGTGCAACAACTTCCTAGGAACAAAGTAAAACCCGGAACCTCCTGTGCTGGAGAGAGAGAGGCTGGAGTTTGTGCATGTTACAATAAACGAAAAATTGGTTGTGTGCGTTGTTATTTTTGGTGCTGGAGATTGAAGGCAGGATATTGTTCTTGCCTCTCCATTGGGCTGCAAAGAACCCTTCCACCCTTGTTTCCAAAGTTTAATTCCAAACTCAGTCTTCTGGACTCAAGCTGGAAATGCAAATCCAAACCGGAAATGGCCGTATTTACTCACTCCCCCACTGGACATGTAAGGGCTTTGTAAAATCCTTGAAAACTTTGAATCCTTAGTAATTTTGCTTTCTGTCATGTATAATGTGTGGCCTCAGAGGATACTGAATGGATTAAGATGTTTGTTTACATAGTTACACATTTGTGTATCAGGCTCTAACCAAGCCCAGCACAGCTCTCCTAAGTGAACTTCTGTCCGGTACCTAACACTAAACCAGAAGGAAGTTCAGCCCACTGCACAGCTCACTTGGGTTCATCGACCCATTTATTTACAACGATGGAGACCCAGTCCACGGTGCAAGCACACTAGGCAAGCTCTCCGTCACTGAACTTGACCTTCAGGTTCTTCCAGTGGTTCTCAACCTTCCTAATGCTGTGTCCCTTTGATACAGTTTCTCGTGGCACGGTGACCCCCTCCCCAAACTATAGAATTATTTCATTGCTACTTTATAAATGCAATTTTGCTACTGTTACGAATTGTAATATGAATTTCTGATATGCAGGGTATCTGATGTGTGACTCCTGTTGGGGTCTGGACCACAGGTGGAGAACTGCTATTTTAGACAATTACAGTTGAAGCATCCCTGGGTTGACAGCACGTTTTCTGGGGCTGACCTGAGGAACCACCATTGTTCTTACCGACAGCAGTAGGCTGTTGTTTCTTTCAGGATGGCTCATGTCAGGCATCGTTTCCTTATTTCTGATGCATTTTGAATGTTCCTATCTGAGCTTTTATGACGTGTCTGCCTTTTTAACATGGCTAGAAGGATACTCCTTATTGAATTCTCACTATTCCATCTTCATA